ACCCGTTGTTTTCTGCGAGGATGGTGACATGGGTGATGAACTAAACAACATTATATCTGCAAGGAGTTCATTTAATGTCGCAGAAATTAGAACTAAAGAAACACCTAAAAACAAATATAAACTGGATGAACCTGTTACTGGAAACCTGGAGAATTCCACCCAAACACACATAGGGGATATAATGGAACATGAAAATACCAAAATGGCTAACTCTGCTGCTGTTCTTAGCTTTAAAATCAAGGAGGAAATCAACAAGTTCCATAATGAATCCCCTTCATCATCTCTGAAGAAGCTGGAATCATCTGAGGCAATAGAGGGACTAGAAATCCTATTGCATTCTTCAGTACAACATGCAGGAAATTCCTTGCCTTCGGAAGATATGATCATTGAAACTATATCTGAAGTAAAGAAAGAGTGCTTAGATGCTGAAAAAGTTTCTTCTACACTGGACATGGCATTTCCATCTCCAAATGCAATGCTTAGCAAGTCTTTGAGGAAGAAATCAGGCAATGGAGGAGCCAGTAATGAATCGTCAAAATCTTCTCGTCGATCATCTTCAGTTAAAAAGGGAAAATCTAAGAATAGTGCTGTGAATTTAACATCACTCTCTGATATGGACAACAAATTGCAAATTCCACAACCTAAATTCAGGAAACCACCTTATGATTCCTTAAATGCTCGTGCTGAAGCAGGTATATCATTTTTATCAAGATTGTGGTATCTGTAGATTTGGAAGTATCATTGAATAAACACTTGCACCTGAATTTGCAGTCGAAGAGAAACTTAATGAGTTGCTGGATCATGATGGCGGAATAAGCAAACGCAGGGTAAGTAGTTCCAAGCTACAGGATGTACTCTATATTGCCTGCTTTTCTTCTTCTCAGTGATCGGAAGTAATGACTGCTTGTTTATTCGCCAGGTTCTGTTTCACGAATTTTGGAAAAAACTAATCATTCTGGAAGTCTTTTTTTTTTCCTTCTGGAGTGCACATTTCCCCAGCTTTCTGTCCATCCTTCCACTGCACTTTGGTGTGGCCTCTTTGTTGTGTATTAATGAAAAACCAGACAAAATTGTGAAAGGAGGCCTGGAGGGTGCTCATAGAAGATGGTGAAAGTAGGCTTATGATTTGGCACCTTTTTTTTTTTTCCTAACGATGGTTTGGCACTTGAGATAGGTTTAGTAACGTGTCCATTTTAGGTCTTTGTCCTCTTTGCAGTGTTGCTTATGCTATGGTTAATGTACGCGATTAATGATAGGTCACTCTACATTTGAATTTGTCCTTTAAACTTAACTCTCTTTTTTCCCAACCAGGATGCATCTAGGTGCTACTTGAAGCTCCTCCTTTTAACTGCTGCTTCAGGAGATAGCTGCAACGGTGAAGCTATTCAGAGGTAATAAATGGATTTCCTATTGGAAACTCTTTCAGGTGCTAGATGTTGCTTAGTGGTGATACCTTTTGTTCATTAATCTATTTCTCTTCCTCCTCCTCCTCCTTCTTCTTCTTNTACCGGAGGGAATTCAATAAGATCCCAATTCTCAGAAAGTTGCTTAAGGTAACTTCTTTAGAATGCTGCGGTCCTAGTAATTAAATTTACTGAATTGATGAACATGCTGTTTTAGCAGTACCAAATTTTGAGAGGCTGTGGAGAAAACTTTTTAACTGTTAGTGAATCTTGATGGAATTGGTGCGAGCAGAAGCTTGTCTCTTGAAAATGTATTCATTCACCGTGCAGCCTCTTTAGATGTCAGTCTTATGTGCATATAAGTTCATATATGATGAAGCATCGAAGAGCCGCCATAACAATTTAGGATATGCAATTGAGCGCTGTATCTGTAGCTTCATTAGGTCACACTCTTCCAAAAGGGGAGGACAGAATTGTTTCTAGCATTTTATTTGGACTAAATTACTTTTGCTCAGAGTGTTCTTTGTAGAAATACTCAGTAGACTCGATGTGGCTTGAAGATGTATTCATTCACCATGCAGCCTCTTTGGATGTCAGTCTTATGTGCATATAAGTTCATATGCGATGATGCATTGAATAGCCAACATAACAATTGAGGATATGTAATTGAGCATTGTACTCATAGCTTCATTAGATCACATTCTTCCAGAAGGGGAGGACAGAATTGATTCTAGCATTTTATATGGACGTGTCTGTTAAGATTTATCAAGCTTTTTTGCCACATAATATGTCAACTGTTGTCCTTTTGACAGGTTTTAGAGTATCTGGCTGTGAGAGAGATTCTTTCGCATGAGCACATTAACGGAGGTCCCTCTAGACACGGAGTTGAGAGGTCGGTATATACTGTTGGATTTCACTTACATGGACTTTTTCACCTTTTGTCTTGATCTTTTGATTGGATGTTTTGCTTGTAGACTGCTGTTTTTTTCAACTTACTCTATATTTATTACTGCACTGTTAGGGATTAAAGTAACTCCAGTTTAAACCTTACATGAATAACAGTATGAACAAAAAGCACAAAAATTTTACTAGACACTGCATAAATTGTTCTCTTATATAGTTTTAAAAAATGGAAAGAGATAAAAGCAGGATGACTACAGAACTCACTAGATCGGAGATTCTAAATATTCAAGGAGTTACCACTTGGATTGTTTATTAATTTTAAATTGGAGATGAACTGCTAAAATTGCATGTCTCACCCTTTGCTATGTTATGCTCCTATTTGCAATAAACCTTAAGATGTCCATTCCCTCTCACCTGATTTCCCCATAAAATTGGAAAAGAAAAGAAAAAACAAAGAAGTGTTTCATAGTTGCAGCGTTGTTAAATGCCATTGCATGATGAACCCTTGCAGTGCGAGGGCTTATCACTTCATAGGTGAAGCCATGTGCTTCAACGAAGTGCAATTCAAACAATGACGTGCAAAGTGATCCAAAAACGATTGCTACTTGAATCTCAACATTGAGCAATTGTAATAACATTGGCATTATTATATGTTGGAATTTGGATGCCAAAATGGTTATTTCAGTTATAGTTTGATTTTTATAGTGCTAAATTTAGATGTTTAATATTTTTAAATGCTCCGTGAGTTGTGCGCTTCACTTCTAGCTTTCCGCTTCAAGTCCCATGAACCTTGTCGCTTTTCTGCATTGTTCGCTTTTTAAAACACTGTAATAGTTGAAGTATTTAATCTGAAGATACTCACCAACCCCCAAGGAATAAAAATAGCAATTTTCGAGTTAAACATGTAGATAAATGATTTTGTATCTGGACTGCTTATATTGGTCACGTCTCATGGAAACAACTCGTTCTTCCTCTGAATGAATTCGTATTTATATCTACTTTATTTTTTTTTGGTGGTGGTGGTGGTGGTGGGGGGGGGGATTTACTTTGATCCTCCCACGTGCATGTTAATTTTGTCCGGTGAAACGAGAGGAAAGTAGTGGGAAGACTTGTTGAATAGGTAATTGGTGTCATAGGCTATGTATAATAATGTAAACAATTATTCTCCGACAGCTTTTGCCCAAAAAAATCTCCTACCGTACATAAAGTTATAGAATTACCTATGTGGATATTCTACCAAATATTTTCTGCTCATGATCGATAAATCTAGATATGTTGTAAATCTACTGGAATTTTAAAATATAACTCCATTAAACCTCTTGAGTTCCGGCATGCCCCTCAAACTCAAGGTGGTGAAGCATGTGGCACTGATAATTGGAGGATGATGTGGTAGTGGACTAGAGAGTGGCATGGCAGTGTTGGATGGACATTAATATCCATTGAACGATAATCTGGCAACGGCTGAAATAATGTGGACTGTGGATTTGACAGGTTGTCTTAGATTGTTATTCTAGACAAGTTAGCTGTGGGCTGGTTGGTAACTCAGCTTTTTATAGTGACATGTCACTGGATTGTGACACTGACGTGTTTTTACCAGCAAATTGGAGAATGTTGGTTTGACTGACTGATCAACATGCATACACTACTAACTTGGCAGGTCAGCTATCCAGTGCTACTTTGAAAGGTCTGCTAACATTAACTGTGAATAAGTCGCAAAAAAAATATGAATATTGAAAGGTGAACATGCTGAGCTAGATAGGTCTGCTAACATTGAAACGTGGAAAAAAACGTGAATGTGCTGCATGTGTCTCATGAATAATGACCAGAAGAGGATTAACCTGAAGAAATTGGAATAGTTGTCGGGCATCGGAATTGTGGATGACATTCACTGAAAAAAGCGTAGTTTGAGCAAGAATACTAACACTAGGAAGTGAGAAAACTAGGTCAGCAAGTGACGTAAAGTGCTCTGCGATAGGCAAAGTTATCAAGTCTCTGATAGAAGCTCTTATACCATGTGAGACAAGAGAAAAGAAGGGAAAAACTCTTCGCTGAGTTACTTGTTTGGCAATTAACAGGACTGATATGGTCATACATACGTACAATAAATTACATGATTTTCTCAAGTTACAAATAAAGTAATCTCCTATGTTAAGTACAAAATATTCTAGAGTACCTACAGAATCTGGTAGTAGCATTCTTGGTGGTATATTGCAATAGTATCTTCAGCTATAGTTTCAATGAAGTATAACTTATTATTTCTCTTGATGTACAATAGTGCTTTGACCTTGGATAACATATTATGAATCTTCTTAATTGAAGTCATTCATGCAATGCATTTTTCAGAGTCGCAGAGCATAAAATCTCTTCAAATGCTGACTGCTACGATAATATTGCTTCTTTCTTCTTGGACACTTCTTATTGTTAACCTCCTTTTGCATTTGATGTATATTCTATTCCATTTTTGTGCTTATTTTATGAGGTGAAAACTTGAGATTTTGAAATTGACGTTTTTGTTACTCTTGCAGCTTTAGGGACTCAATTTTGCGATTGACAGATCACACTGACAAACAGGTAATCGATTCTTGCCTTATGCACCANTTTTTCTTGCTTTTCCATGTGAGTTGAAATGCTTCCCATTTTATGCTCGCGTGATGATTGGAGAGACCTATGGATGTATGATGTATGTGAAGAACAAAGACTGATTTCTTCTTGCCTAATTAACATTATAGTCTATACAAAAGTTAATATCGAAATGAGGTGAATATAATAATAACCAAGGGTGTGGTCTACTGGTCAATGAAGTGGGTTAAGAACCATGAGATTTCAGGTTCAAATCCGCTAGGCAAAAAGCACTAGGCGATTCTTCTCATCTATCCAAGCCTAAGCGGACAAAATTTTCCCGTAAATTTGTTGGTGGGAGGTAGCAGATAAGCCGTGGAATTAGTTGAGGCCCGGACACCATGCTTATCCCAAAAAAAAAAAGGTGAATACAAAGGGGAGGGCACATATGACCAATGTCACCACTTCTTATCCGTCTGCGAAAATCTTTAGAAACTGTAGACCAACACCTAGACAGTACTCAGGGGGAAGCATGCATAAGCCTATATTCTTTGTTCATCACCTTGTTTCAAGGGAGGTGACAGATATGAGATGCCTTACACCCTAGACAAGATTGTACCCATATTGTGTGTTGAGCTTGCTTTGTTTTTAAGTTGTCACCAATAACTGAGGCTACCGATGACCTATTCTCTAGTACAAGTTATGATTGAAAATATCTTGTTTATGTTTAAAAAAAAGGTGCATTTGGTGATGAGTAATTTGTTTACTGAAGAAAGTGTGATAATACTTCGCAAGTACTTTAATGAGAATTAGGGGGAGGGGAAGAGGCAACTCTGGCTTTTCCAGATTGAGCATTCTCCCAGAGCTGCCCCAAAAATTAATGGAGTGGTTGACCGAGAAAGAGAAGTAGTTTAGAGAAAAGGATAGCCCCGGATCTTTCATGTCAATATTGATGAACAATATTTCCACTGATGATCTTAGTTAGAGAAAAATTTCGTTATTAGAACTTGATTAAGGAGATCAAGCTAACTTGGAATGGAGTCTTGGCTTTTCCAAAAATAGAAGGAAATTTCTAGAAAACGTGGAGACTATTTGCTTTCTTGTTGAGCTCCTTGGATTGGGCTACAGGGTCTTATTGGCTTTTCTCTGGCAGGCTAGACCTATATTTTTATGTGAAGCGTGCTAGGTACTCCTATAGAGATTACATGCATATCACAATTGATTGTACTTTTTCCTTGGATCTTCCGTTGTTCTGCTAGTCTGATTACTACCATGAAAATGATTTTTCACGTGCTTGCGATGTTTCTGTTTTTCTTTTTGTTTTATTTTTTGGGGGCTAATTCTAGTCTTTGGATCATCAGTAGCCTGAGATGGTGGTTTGGTTTCATGTATATCACCATTGTGCCATCATTTTTTTGACAATAGTCTAATTGATTTACTGTGTTTACGGTGTCTCAGGTTCATCAAATTGCAAGGAACTTCAGAGATAGGTGGATACCTAGACCTCCCAGAAAAAGTAGCTGCATTGACAGAGATGACAGCCAGATTGAGCATCCTTCTCCACGGTACAATAGGTGTACACCATTACAAGACCATTGTGGTGATTGGAGTATGAAACCTTCAGAAACAGAAGAATGTACCTGCCATATAATGGTAGAATCTACTACAGCAGATGCTGGTATCCTTGATGGCTCATCTACTTCATGTGTTGTTGGGGCACCCAATGGGGCAAGGAAACGTAAGCGTAAGAGTCGATGGGATCAGGAGGCAGAATCAAGTTTTGATCAAAGAACTGAAACCAATATGGCTGATGATCGAACACAGGACATAAATGATGTCCCCCCTGGATTTTCACTCCCCATGAAGGCCACTAGAGTCTCATGTGGTGCTTCCTCAGGTGCAGCTTGTAGTCTACAAGAACATAGTTGCAAGAAGCATCCACATCCAACGGTCACAGGGTATTTGCAGCATAGGTTTATTTCACGATTGCCAGTCTCTTATGGAATTCCATTTTCCAAAGTGCAGCAGTTTGGGTCATTTCAAAAGGAAAGACGTGATGTTTGGGATGTTGCCCCAGGAGTACCTTTCCATCCTTTTCCTCCTTTGCCTACATATCCCCGTGATAGAAGAGATTCCATGTCTTCTGCTGCTAGTGCTGGAATTTTTAGCGAGCCACCTCAAAATGCTGGACAAGATTGCCATTCTTGTTCTCCGGGCCACTCTGCTCATAATCCTCCATGCCTATCCGGGGCAAACCTCTCGCAAGACGTTGCAAATACCCAATTTGGTTTAGAACGAACTGGGGGCTATCATAATTTGGGAAGGAAATATTTTCGGCAGCAAAAGTGTATTAACTCAAAAAGGCCTCCTTGGGGAAGAAGTGGCTGGGGGTGCACTGGAAACAACTTAAAAGATAGTATGTGCAGTGTAGGTGTAGCAAGCAAAGAGAATGAATCTAGGAGTTCCCATAACCCTAAAATGGAGAATTTGGGGCATACTTCTCAACAGAATCATTCACAACAGACATAGCTTTAACTTCCATAGGCAAAAGACCTCAGGAGCCTCCAAGTTTTTCTCCAGTGCTCCTTTGTACTTGTATTCTTTGCCACCAACAGAATTGTAAAGAACTTATTCCCTTTTATTTGTTAAGGTTAAGGATAAAAAGATACTCTGATACGACGATGTGCTGCACTGGCAATATCATTATTCATGCCTTACAGAGGTACCCTTCCTAATTCTTTTTATTATTACTTGATGGGAAGTACTGTCAGAGAAAATTGATTTATTTATGTTACTGCATTGTAATTGTTACTGTAGTTTTGTGGAAATGTATGTTCTTTACACTGAAAACTGATCCTGCTACAGGCATTTTAGTAGTATAATCTCAGTTGCAGTGCTTTCTTTTTCTTCTTTTATTTTACTCATTCTAATGCTACAAATGTGGGTTACACTAGTAAAAAGGGGGAAAGATCTTTTAGATTGTTCCTTCAACCTGTACTTGCAGCTGGGCTAACTTGATTAGATATTGTTCTTTCATGCGTCCTTGAAGAAGAGCATCAGGTAGATAAAACAATCGATGAAGTGCACTAGTCAGCATATCAAGATGTTTCTATATTGCTAGAACTTGATCAGACCAGAATATTTTAGTCCCATAGTGGCTACGTACGTAGCTCCATAAACTTACACAAAAATTGCTCTTGGCTCCACCAATTTTCAGGCATTCTTCACGATGTTCGAAAGACGTCAGACTGTCTACATGTTATATAGCAAAGAAGAATATTATAATCTCAACAATGAGCAAACTTTTGACATTTCATATCTATTAACAATTGCAAAGAACTTTCTTTTCTCCGCTACAACAANAAAAAAAGAAAAGAAAAGAAAAGAAAAAGGAGATAGTAAACTGGACAACAAGAAAAGAGTTTAGCTGCACTATTCAAGTGATTTTCCCCCTCTGACCTGCACATTGAGCTCTCAATATTTTCGCAGCATACTTCTGATACGGATGAAACACCATGTTTTCAGCAATGTTTTCCGTCTTCTCCATCCATCAAAGTACCTGCCAATCACCTTCTTATAACTAGGTCTCTGCTTAACCAACATCCAGTAATCTGCTGTGTTTGGACGACTGTTTATGTACTCGTCTTCCAAGTTCAAGAGTTCTAATCTAGCCAGAACAGGAATGAGCACTACATCAGCTAGACTGAACTCTTCCCCTGCTAGATATGATGTTTCACCAAGTTTAACTTCTACCTCATCAAGAAGCCTTACTAGATGATCCTCGCTTCGTCTCAAAACGTCAGCATTCTTCAACTTGTCGTCAGTATCATATGCCTCTCTTAACTTGCAGTGGTATGCACTTGCTAAGTCAGGAGACTCAGCCATTCGGGCAATTATTACACGTCTCAGGAATTTCGAAACATATAACCGATACTTTTCAGGGACATGGAAAAGGGTAAAGTACATTGAGTCCCATTCTTGTATTTTATGCATCCATTCAACTACTTCTCTGCTGCTGAGGTTCAGATTGTTTCCACCAGAAGACACTTTTTCTGCAATTCTTTCGATATACCTGTGCGTGGTGAAACAGTTTAATACTCTTCCACTACAAATCTCAGAAAAAGAATCGGAAAATAAGAAAATACAAACTAAATACAAGTCCTTTTTAACTGTTCATGCTTACACTTGTATTGCTAGGAGAAAAGTGTAGCAAGGTGAAGAGAAGACTTACTGAATGATCTCAACTGTATCATATATGATGTGAGAACCATTCTGGAACACAGGAATTTTTGCACTTGGATTCATACTGAAGAAAAACGCGTCCATGTTCTTGCCCGTTAAAGGGTTCACATGATGCGACGTGTAATCAATGCCTTTCTCTTCCAAAGTAAGTCTCACCTTCTGGCTGTCCAAGGACAAAGGATGATGATATAGCTGCATGGTCTCGTAAACATAGAACGCCAATAGTGTTACACCTGCACCTGATTACAACAAAATCATCTGTTAAACAACCTCAATGTCTTAACTTTCTGTAAAACTGAAGGACAATGATAACAATCTCCTACAATAAGTTAGTAATTCTGGCTTCAAGGTGCTCATCTACTATAAAATAAGCCAAGTTAATTCAATAGGCAGATTCAACCAGAGTTACACAGATAACATATTATTGAGATAACACTGTATTTAAAACTTCATTTTGTACATACTTCCGAGTAGTTTAGTTAGTTGATTTACAGTAGCTTAGCTGTCAAGTAGTTAGCCGTCAGTTGGAAGTGGTCTTGTATCCACGTGTATATATACATCCCATTGGGATATCAGAAATACAACAATTCATTCTCTCATCTTTGAGATCCATCAATGGAGTCTCTAACCGAGAGGTGAAATTGGTTGTCCAAATGCATAAATTGACACATATCTTCTTACTCATGTTGCCTAATTCTAAAATTTCCTACGAATACGCTTACTTGTTTATTTGATCTGACAAGGCATTCTGCAATTAAATCACAGCAAAATAGGATCACTTATGCAATTGTCTAAACTTCATAAGTTATTGTCACATTCTCAGTCTACAACTTTAAGATCGCTCACTGATGCCACAAAGATGGATACACTAAGCTATTATAATTAAAAATCACTATTTTAATTTCTTTTCTCCTTATGAAAAGAGGAAGGGAAGGAGGAAAGGGACAGTGAGAATGAACCCACAACTATTGTGTAATAAAAAAGTTCAAATCAGTATCACTAAACAATAAGCTTGAATAAAAATCAGAATTCAATTATCAGAACCCACAATTTCCAGAAACTAATAGAGGAATCACAAAATAAACCCAGAAATTAGTAAATTTAACCAATTAAAAAGAAATTTTAAAGTAGCAAAAAGAGGACATACCAAAGAAACCTTATGGAATCCAGTCAGTCGAATTGGGGTCACAAAGAAAAAGAGGACAAACTCTATGAAGAACGCTTAAAAGGGGTTTATGCCTTTCTGTGGAGAGAGAGTGTGGAAGAATTTGACAACTAAGAAAAGCAGTTTTTGGAGTTACTTTTTTTCTTCGTTTTTTATGTTCTTGTTTATTCAATTAGTACTTAATCTATTCCTTATTAAATTTAGCTAAAAAATTTAATTTTACCTCTCACGAGAAGCTTTTATAACCACACAAATATTCTGGATCCTTTTTGACTTGTTTAGAATCACAAATTCAAAAAAATCTTTATTTTTTCTTAAACTTCGTGCAATCAACGAGTTCACGTAAAATTAAAATGGAGAAAGTAATTTTTTCAAGTATGGTGCTATTAGTTTCAGTGAAAAAGGTGTGAAGAGAGAGATTAAAATAGATACTATCAAAAGTTCTAGCTTTAAATATGCAATCCTTTACCCAAAATTAAAAAAATATATATACTTCATCTGTTCCAATTTAGATAAGGTAATTTGGCTCGGCAAAGAATTTAAGAAAAAATAAAAAGACTTTTGAAATTTGTGGAGTTAAAAGTTTAATGGGTAAAACCTTGGTGAGGCCATGAAATTTGTGTGGTTATAAAAGCTTCTCATTAAGGATAAAATAAGTAAAAGGAAGAGTTTAAAATTAAATTATTTTTAATTATAAAAAAATATCATTCTTTTTAGAACGGACTAATAAAAAAATGTATCATTTAAATTGAAGGTACCGTCAATAAGTCTTGTGCCAGCCGACCTCTCTCACTTTTTAAATATTTGTTGTATAAAAATAGAGACTTGTATGGGGTGTGATATGTGAGGAAACTACTACTTGTAGGATTTGGCAAATTTTGTTTTGATGAAACTTAACCCAAAGAGTTCAGATCTACGTAAGTATAACTAATTTCTATGGAGTCAAACAAGAAATTTGCTAGACTTTAGCAAGCCGCTTTGAGCGCTCCTATTTGAAATATATTTAGTAAATTATTTAAAGTCACTATCATTTTTAATTCTTTTTACTCTTCACCGAGAGATCACCGCTTTGCTTATTAGGTGATTCGAAACTGCAACCTCAGCATCTTTCTCTTTTTAATTTAAATTTACAGTCTAAATTAGAATTACATTTAAAAATTCTCTCTCGTTTTGACAGCAGTGAGAAAGTGTGCCCCTTTTTATTTAATGAATCAAGTGTGGACAAAAATACTATTCAAATTAAATCACCAGCTCTTAATTATTCGCTCAACAACACCTTACACTTATAGAGGTCGATTCGGAATTTCAACTTGATGGGTTAAATTGTTATGATTTTATCATTGAATTCATTGCACTTTTAAAATTATGATTTTAAAATATAAAAAAGAATAACAAAAAAAATTAGTGTATCCCACAAATAGAGGGTCTGGGAGGGTATTATGTATGCAACCTTACCCTACCTTATGCAGGTAGAAAGGATGTTTCTTGTAAACCCTTAGCTCTAAGCAAGCATGCAAATCACAACAATATATAAAGAGAAAAAATACAGTAGTGTAAAAGTCAGAAAAACATTAACAACAGTTGGAAAGTAGAGCAGCCAAAATACAGTTGACACTAGGTAGTAATAAAATTTTAAGCGTATGGAAAATACTAAAATACGCAACGACTAGTGAAAGAAAAAGGGGAATGTGCACTGCCTACTAGCCTTCTACCCTAATTCTCACCCTCCACGTACGCCTATCACGTGTCATGTCCTAGGTGAGCTGAAGATGCGCCATGTCAAGTCTAATCACCTCACCCCAACACTTTTTCGGCCTACCGCTGCCTTTTCTCAGACTTGCCATCGTCAATCTCTCACACCTCCTCATTGGAGCGTCCGGACACCTCCTCATCACATGCCCGGACCATTTCAACCTCGCTTCCCGCATCTTGTCATCGACGGATGCTACGTCTACCTTTTCTCGAATATCTCCATTCTTAATCACGTCTCTCATATTATGCCCACACATTCATCTCAGCATCCTCATCTCTGAAACCTTCATCTTTTGGACATGAGATTTCTTGACTGGCCAACACTCCGCTCCATAAGATATAGTTGGTCTAACCACCACCTTGTAAAACTTACCTTTAAGTCTTGCTGGCACGTTCTTATCACACATAACACCGAATAAAAGCCTCAATTTTATCCACACCGCTCCAATACGATGCGTAACATCATCGTCAATCTCCCTATTGCCTTGGATTACTGACCCAAAGTGCTTGAAGTTGCATCTCTTAGGGATGACTTATGAATCTAGCCTCACTTCTATGTACGTTTCCTAGGTGGTATTGCTAAACTTGCACTCCAAATACTTTGTCTTAGTCCTGCTCAACTTGAAACCTTTAGACTCCAGGGTCTGTCTCCAAACCTCCAGCCTAGTATTGACCCCGACTCGTGTCTCGTCAATCAGTACTATATCATCTGCAAATAGCATACACCACGATACCTCCCCTTGGATGTGGCGCATCAATACAAGGCAAATAAAAATAGACTAAGAGATGAACCCTGGTGTAACCCCATTATGATAGAAAAGTGTTCCGAGTCACCTCTTACTGTCCTAACCCGGGTTTTGGTTCTATCATACATATCCTTAATCGCCCTAATGTAACCTATAGATACACGTTTTGCTTCCAAATATTTCTAAAAAACCTCTTTAGGGACTTTGTCGTATGCGTTTTCTAGGTCAATAAACACCATACAAATTCTTCTTCCTCTCCCTATACCGCTCCACCAATTTCTTCACCAGATGAATAGTTTCCGTCATCGATCCTCCCCCGGCATGAATCCGAATTTGTTCTCGAAAATGAACACACTCCTCCTCACTCGGGTCTCCACCATCCTCTCCCAAACCTTCATAATATGATTTAGCAACTTGATGCCTATATAGTTGTTATAACTTTGAATATCACCATTGTTCTTGTATAACGGGACCATTGTACTCCACCTTCATTATTCGGGTATCATCGCCGTGCTAAAATGACATTAAACAACCTGGTCAACCACTCCAAACCTGCCCTACCCGCACTTTTTTAAAATTTCACCAGAATCTCGCCTAGCCTGGTCGCTTTTCTCTTGCCCATCTTGCGCATAGCCTCCTACACCTCCTTGACCTTATCACGTCGACTCTCAGAGTGCTCCAAATCACCTAGCAAAATAGTCCTATCTCCCTCTTCATTCAAGAGTTTATGGAAGTATGTCTGCCATCTTCTTCTAATATGTGCCTCCTCCAATAGCATTTTATCTTCCTCGTCTTTGATGCACTTCACTTGGTCTAAGTCACAAGCCTTCTTCTCTCTCGCCTTAGCTAGACTGTGCAGCTTCTTATCCCTGTCCTTGTCCCCGAATTCTTTATACAAGCATTCGAACGCTGCTGTCTTAGCCGTTGTAACCGCTAACTTTGCCTCCTTCTTCGCGGTCTTGTACCTCTCCTGATTCGCGCTCCTCTTTTACTCATCTTTACTCTCCCTTACCTTCAAATATGCCGCTTTCTTCGTCTCCACTTTCCTCTGCACGTCCTCCTTCCACCACTAGTCCTCTTTATACCCGTCACGATAATCCTTCGATACCTCTATCACCTCTCTAGATACTTCCTTAATGCAGTCTGCAGTCCTAGACCATATACTACTCGCAGTCCGATGATTTAAAACATAATACTTATTAAAATTTTAGCAATTTTACAAACATATCAAAACATCGTAAAAATTATTGGGTTCAATTAAACCCTTAACTTGGTAGCTATATTTGCCCCTGCGCACATAGCCAACGAAGGAATGTATGAAGCTGATAAAGGTTAAATGAAGACTCCATAGACATGTATAGCAAAAATAGAAAGAATTTTAGCCTATAAAATTCTAATCTACAATCAACTCTCTTCTATTTTGAATCTCACTTTCCTTGTTGATTGACAAATTGCAAAAAATCATCTATTTCAGTAGCCATAGCATTTGCAGTGCCACTGTTCCTTGTCGCAAATTCACCCTCTTTTTTTGTTTTTGATTCCACACGAGTCACATTATCTTTTTAATTCTTGTTTATAAAATTCGATCGGATTAGTATGACTTTGTGCTAGACTTATTTTACTTATATTATTTAATTATTTATAAATTTTATAGGATTGCCATGACTTTGTGCTAGACTCATTTTGCCTATATTATTCAATTGTTCATATATTCTACCGAATTTGCATGACTTTGTGCTTGTTAAATTATTCACAAAATCCTTATGAATTGATATGACTTTTGTGCTATATCCATTGTATATATATAGTTTAATTGTTTGTAAATTTTATCGGATTAGTATGGCTTTGTGCTTGTTCAATCATTCACAAAATTTACCAAATTAGCATAATTTTGTGTTATATTCATTCTATCTATATTATTTAATTGTTCAAAAATCTTAGTAGATTAGTTTGAATTTGTACTTATTTAATGGTTCACACCAGATTGACATGATTTGTGCTATATTTATTCTGTTTATCTTGTTAAATTAATCACAAATCTTATCGGATTGGCAAAATTTTGTGTTTGTTCAATTGTTCTTAATATACTGCCGAATTGACATAATTTTGTGCTTTATTCATTCTACCAGCGGAGAAGGATTATAACTACCCTTTATTATCTAAAATAAGATATATTTATCTTCCGTTTTAATTTTTTTATTAAAAGTACTCCAACCCTTGTACTTCGGGGTATAAATTTCCCCTAAGGTGTTAAATCCTCATTCAAAACTTTAAAAAGCTATATGGCACGACCTAATTACACGTAAAAGACCATCCCACTTTCTATTTAATCAACCCGACCCAACATATTTACCTGCCCCACCCGACCCCCCTCACATGTTCCTGTCCCACCTGAATCCCCACTCGAAGGAATCACAACAACAACAACAACGACCCAGTATAATCCCACAAGTGGGGTCTGGGGAGGGTAATATGTACGCAGACCTTACCCCTACCCCGAAGGGTAGAGAGGCTGTTTCCAGGAGACCCTCGGCTCAAAAAAGCAATAGGAGATGATATATTAGTACCATAAAAATGCGTATTAAAAATAACAACAATATATAAGAGATATGAAATATGAAATACAGAATACGAAATAC